ACTAACTGGTGTTCCTAGTCTCCAATTCTAGTTCTGTACTTTTCTAGATGAAGAAACTAAGGCCTAAAAAGGCTAAGAAACTGACTCAAGTTTAAGGAGCTCAAAAGTACAAAGCTGGAAGTAGAGTTCTGGTCTCAAAATGAGTAGGCCAGTGCTCTTTTGGCCAGAACACTATGCTTGTATGAACCGTTATTTCTAAAGAGCACAAAAAGGTTTTGGCTAGAGAAATGTGAAGAAATGGGTCAAAAATTCTGTTTAAAATGGAAATCTAGAGCACTTCAAATCCTGAAGAGGTCTATGGGTACATTTTAGGACATTGCTTCAGTATTGTCAGATGATTATTTCTACAGTGGAAGAGTTCAAGTTTATCTCCCTGAAGTTTTTTGATTTATGAATCCCACCTGTGTCACCTATCTTAATTTAATCATTTTGTCTACTTTTTAAATGACTATATTTGTTACATATATTTTATCATAGTATTAATACTATTCAACATTTAATGAGTATGCTAGACTTTGGTAAAGCACTGCAATGCCAAATCAGTATATCTGGTTGGTTAGGGGAAGCTATCAGATCCTTGAAGCTGAGATAAAATTTACAGTTTCTCCTAGGAAATTTTTCATTTTGTATGATCTTAGTCCTTTCCCTCATACTTTTATTCTTTCTCATTCACAGAGAATCCAATCAGCAAATAATTCAACTCTACAATGTTCACAAGAAGTTTACCATCAAAATCCTCCTCAGTAAAGTACTAGAAATCCCTTATGTCCAAAATATGGAAAGGACTGGGAAAGGAAATCAGTTGAAAAGGAAGTTATGACTAACCAACTAAACAAACCAGCAATATATTAAAAATTTTAAGGAAGACTGAAATTACTGTAGTGAGAATCAAAAATTCAGTATCTAATATTAGTTTTTCTTTTCACTAATAGTAAAATTTTTCTAATAATGAGAATCTCTAAAATTCAGTATCTAATATTAGACAGTTTTTCTTTTTACAATTACTGAATGTATACATTTTTTATTTTACTTGAAACTTGACATTGATGGACAAACCAAGAATTACAGAACAGTCAATAAAGCACACATTGATGGCACAAAGCAGATATTGGGAATGAAGGTTCTGACAATACAGTTAATGCTAGGAAATGACAAGAGTTTAGAAACATGGAATTACAGAAGACAAGAGATGTTAAAGTTGTCACAACATTTCAACAGTAAAGGACAGTATTTTATAGAAAATTTAATTTCAAAGTGTAATTTTCTTCATTAAATAGTTTATTATACAAATAACAAAAATGATGGAGTAAATCAGCATGTTAGAATGAAAATAATTCAAGAGTCAGAAGGGATTATAATTATCCTATCACCTCTTCCATTCCATTGTACAGATAAAGAATCTGAGGTCCACTGAATAGCTTTGCCTGGCCAATAAATAAAGTTTTAAAGCTTTCCAGATTATACTTTTGAGTTCATTTCTATTTCATTAGATATACTGGCATCTGACTAGACAATAACCAAAAGAGACCATATTATTAGGATTTAAGTTCTGAACAAAGTTACTAATTTGGACATTTTTACAAAATGGACACATAAAAGGTAAAAAGACAACACTACTTTAAAATATGAGTTCTTCATATTAGTT